AAAAAAAAAAAAAAAAAAAAAAAAAAAGAGTCTGAACTAAGTGGCAGCTGTAAAGATGGCAAGAAAAGAATGAATTCAGTAGATATGACCATTGTGGAATTTACAAAAATTGGTGACTGGTGGCTGGGAGGAAAGATAAAGGAGATAGAAAGGAAATGGAGTAAAAAATTACTTCTAAAAATAGCATGTTATAATCTTTCTGGAGGACAATTTGGAAATAATGACTTCAAAAAATTAAAAACTTCATACCCAAACACGTTACTTTTGTGACCAAAAGGACACAATGTTCTTTATGTCCTTATGTTTTTATCCACTTCTGGGAGTTTGTCCTACAGTTACTTGCAAGATTTATATACCAAGATGCTTACTGCAGTATTATTTATATACCAAGATGCTTACTGCAGTATTATTTATATACCAAGATGCTTACTGCAGTATTATTTATATACCAAGATGCTTACTGCAGTATTATTTATAACAAAAAAATAAAAACAAGGTAAAGGTCTCACAGGAGACTGGCTAAATGTTGTATACACACAATACAAATATCAAGCAGAGAAAAAAATGTTTTCTAATATAGCTGAATGATATAGTAAAATCTCATAAAATAATATTACATGAAAATAATTTATACAGAGTATATATGTGTAAAAGTAAACAAATGAATGAACAAATAAAAACTGACAGAAAATATATTAACTGCTGCCATTAGCTATCACTGAACTGTATAATCATGAGGGAATTTTCATTTTCTTTTTTCCTATACTTCAACTGATAATAAAACAAATAAAACCCTTAAAGTTTTCATTCAGAAAGAAAACAAAACAAAGCAACTCCTTGGTCTGAACATCTGGGTAGAAGGTGGTGTCAATTTCCACAGTGACGAATTCAGTAGGAACAGTGGTAAGATGAGTTTAGCTCTGAGGGTACTGAGTCTGTGGCACATCCAGTGAAGGTGTTCAACAGACAGCCAAGCATATGAGTCTGGAGCTCAGGGCAGAGACTTGGCCTGGAAAGATAACATGGAACCAATAGCATATAATGGAGGTTAAAGCCAGAGTTCTGGGGGAAACCATTCAAGGTAAAGATATAGTATAGAGTAAGAAGTTAAGGAAGCTCTAGAGCTGAACACTGGAGAGTAATAAAATTTAAGAGGTGACTAGAGAAAGATAGTAAAAGATCTGAGCAGAGAAGGGAGCGGCTAGAAGACTGAGTTTTAAAAGCCTGTAAAGACTAGTGTCACAGATGTCAGTGGAGGAAAAGTTTCAGTCAGAGGGCATGGCCAACCATGTCAAATGCTACAAAGAGGTCAAATAGAATACAGAGTACCTATTTGGTCTACAGTAAAAAGAGCACTAATGACTTTGGCAATGGTAGTTTCTGAAGAGAGGTAGGAACAGAGGCCAGAATGCAGTGAAGTCTCTGGAATGTGGGAAAGTAGAGAGACAGTAACTGTAAACTACTCTTTCAGGAGCTTGACTTTAAAGGGAAGGTTAAAGAATTGTTGTTGTTCAAAATGGGGGGAGAAATCAGCTGATTTATATGGCAAAGAGCTGAGACAAAAAAGGCTGAAGATACACCGACACCTCTGCCTCAACAGTAACAGCTGCCTTCTACTCCATTCAGACCATCACAGCTGTCAGCACCAATTTTGTCTACTTCCTGCCCAAGATATGACAGTTTTGCTGTTTGCTGTCTGTCATCACCTTCACTACCATTCCTCCTATCCCAGAGGAATGCTGGTCCCCACTCACACTCAAGGCAGAGCCAATGCCTTTGGATCCCATCCTCTTGCATCTCCCAGGAACAATGCTCCATCAGTTATCCTTTCCCTTTTTCTGTCTCCAGCTTGTCCCTCTGGACTCTTT